AGCGGTGGAGTAACAATCGGGTAGTATGGTTTTTGGTTATGATCTACAGGCTGTATTTTAAGAAACTACTTTTTAAGCACTACACCGTAAAATCAATCTATGTTAATATTAACTTCGAGAAGGTAACGTTCATTCATAATTGTCAACATATAGATACTTGTGAAAACAACTACTTCTATAAAAGTTACCTACTATCGAGTATTATTCAAAACTGCACGTCTGCACGTCGTAAAATGTAATTGAGTAATTCTAAACAATATTTTATTTGCTAATAGCGGATACATAATAATATTAAAAATATTAAAATTAGTTAAAAGAAATACTGTTAATCATTTTTACATAAAACGGTAATTGCGTAACGATTTTGTTACTAGGTATGGAGTAAAAAATAAATAATTAATTTATGATTTGAACATTTTGAAACAATTAATTGTTATTACTATTATATTACGGAATAGAAAAGAATTGTTTGTAACCAAAATGATACTTGTATAAAATTAAAATATTAAAATGTTTTGGTCTAACGAATGGAGTTTTTTTGGTATTGGTAAACTAGATGGTCCTATTGATTTATTGCCAATGGTAGTTCATTCAACATTCGTTTATTAACAAATTATCTTTTCATCATCATCCGAATCTAAGGAATTCCAGAAGACAATGAACAGAAGCCGGTTCTCTTTACGTTTTCACAAAATTCAACTATCCACGTTGTACCTATATATATATTATATATGTGTGTGGAGGGAAAAATTATTCTCAACTTAACATTGGATGACCTTGATACCCAAATTGTATTTATTTTTTTTTAAATTGGACTGGACATTTATGTTACAAATACCAAAAAATTTTAATTACGTTTTTATAAAAAAATTCAAACATCGAGATACGTGCTATATTAAATTTAGTTCTTTGTAGTAGAAAAATTGTAATTGATGTTTATATAATTATTTTTCTGACATCATACTTCAAACAAATAGTAGATCACTCGTTAATTCTATTTCTTATCGAAATACACATTTTAAAGAAGATTAAAACAATTATATAATTTATATCCAAATAATTAATTGTATTTTCTGAAGTATGTATCATTGTAGCATGGTATAAAATTATTTATGATGTAAACAAGTATATTTAGAAACAATATAGATTTTATCATACAAAAATAATTAAGATAACATTAACAAAATAATTCAAATTTAAAATAAAAACATATAAAAACTATTTCAGTTAAGGATAAGCAGGATTGGCGCCTGTCTGTAGACATACGTCTTATATTTCAGTACAGTCGAAAATACAATTTAAGTTTAAAAGGATGGACCCAAATGCCGGAATTGGATAGTTTACGTTTAACGGGTACTTCGAAGTTTAGTTTTGAGTTTAAAATTGAAAGTAACGATGAACTTTAACTCTTGAACAACGATTTTGGTTTCTTAGTGGCGTTGGAGTGTTACTTGTAAAATACGAAAAACTTCACTTTGTTTCATTAAATTCAAAATCTATTTCATAATATTATAATAATAAGTTATTTTTTTAAACACCCAGAAAGGTAAATTAGTTTAATGGAATCAATTACCTGAGAAAATATATAAATAACTAATACTGCTTATTGAAAACAAATTATGATCAGATTTGTACCCCCCCTCCAAAAAAAAAAAAAATTACCAAGCCATCCTTGCAGAGTTAAAGAGGATAAAGTGACTCAACTATTGAAGTTGGTAGATACCTATAATTTTTCCGAGATAGACAAGTTAATAGGGAAACCTAACCTAATATATAAATATATATACATGTATGTATTTAAACGGTGTTTAATTACTAAATATTTTTTAATAATTAAATAATTCAAAAAAGTTATATCACACGAGTTTTGATCAAGGAAGTAGATATATGTAGAACAAAATATGAGAGTTGTGTAAACCATTGAAAATTTAAAGTCTTTATTATATATGAAATTCATATTATGAATATTATAATGGTCAATGATAAATAATCGCACTAAAAACATAAATGTTACGTAATATGTTGACAATTTTGTTTGTTCTTCACAAAATAAAATCTCTTGTATTATAATTGTTATAGATTGATAAAAAAAATATGATCCATTCTCAATATACTAATTACAACAATTTAATAAAAAAAATGATTTATAAAACTAATTATGTTGAATTCATCAAAATTCAAAGGCGATATTTTACGCTTATATTAAAAATATTTGACAAATATTATATAATAATAAATTAAAACAATTCATCAATATTATGATTCAAGTAGTATTAAATAGTTATAAACGATAATGATAACAATTTATAAAACTATGTAAACCTACAAACTTAAGGGGACGTTACAGTGACATTTATTGTCTCCGCCTTATAAGTGCGTAACATACCAAATTTTACCCTCAGCAAAACACGTTTATCTCCCGTTAGTTTAAAAATTAGAGCGAATTGACCTCTTATACAATTTAAAGGTAAAATTATTATCTAGACAATGACATAGGTTTTTTATTATAATTTAATTTTAAAGCGAGTTATGTGTATTTTAAAATTGTTAACTGTTTGAACATCTTAAAATACTCATAACTCGCTTTAAAATTAAAATATAATAAAAAGCCTAGGTCATTGTCTAGATAATAATTTTACCTTCAAATTTTATAAGAGGTCAATTAGCTCTAATTTTTAAACTTAAGGGAGATAAACGTGTTTTGCTGAGCTTAAAATTTGCTATGTTACGCACTTGTAAGACAGAGAAAACAAATGTAACTGTAACGGCCCCTAATGTAATATTATAAAATAAAATATAATATATATAATATATTATATATAGGTTTGTTTTCATAATACCAATTCTACTAAATAATCAGGATTTATTTTAAATTATAATAAACTGTTTTTAAGAGGTGTTTTCCAACGAAATTACTTTATAAATATAAGTAACTAGAACTCAATGCATTTTATATTAAAATGTATCTAATTGTTTTTTTTATTTTTTACTGTGGACAAAACAGTTCATTAGATCTCCTACTTAATATACATACAGCTATGTACCTATGTAATTTAAATTTTAACCGAAAGATAGTATAATATATTTTATAAATTGCATTTTTAATTTAAACATTAATTATTATACAAAAATATTTACATTTTTTTTTCGTTTTTGTTATCTGTGCGAACACGGATCGTTTATATGTTATCACTTATAAGTTATAAGCTATAAAGATGAATTTTTGTTTAAACTGATGTCATATTAAATGTTGATGTATATAATATTTTGATACACTATTGTTAAAATTGATTAATAATAGTTAATTGAATTTAATTTAATTACCCTCACAAAGAAATCAAATATCGTAATAATAATATTTTATACAATTTGTTATGATTACTTTGATTAATATTTTAATGTTACTAATGACTAATTTAGCCAAACCAACATTTACTTAATAGTTAATTGCAGATAAAATGTCTTGCACTTTTAAAAAACAATTTACTTTAATGTTCCATCTATATTAATACTGAATACATATAGGTACCACATAGTCGATGATATATTAAAAATAAACGCAAGACCTCGTGGACTTTATTTATCGACATACCTACTTTGAAAATAATTATGAAATATTTAATCCAAAAAACCTCGAGTGTAGACGTAATAGTCAAGTTACAGAACAAAATATAATATTTCTTACGTGATTGAAGAACAACTACATTTTATCACCCAAGTTTCAAATATTCACAAATTGTGTAACTTAACATCATTTATTAGTTTTATGCGTTTAATTACAATATTAGGTACATTTATATATTTCATCGTAATATGTGATGAAACCTTTGACCACGTGATCAAACGTTTAATTGTGTACAAATAATCGATAGTAGGTATATAATATGTATGAATTATGATGCATTAATGCATTATTTAGTGTAGTAACCTATTTCCATAGTTGCTATGACTACTATGCTAATAATGTTAAAACCGCCAAAATGTCTTTCTGTTTCAGATTCAATCGTCCAATGATTTTAAGTATTTTAGTTTTATCCGAGGAAACATTGGTTAATTCGGCAACAGATGTATGATAATATGTTATAGTATACAATATTTTTGTTCCTGTTCTATAATTCAGATAAGTTAAAACAAAACGTAATCGCTTTAGACATAAAAATATGTAATCGCAGTGTTTAAAAACACATTCACACACACACACATACATACACACATATTACATGCATGCATACATCGCTCGAAACTTGTCAAATTGAAAGATATCGATCGGTACCTGAGGCGTCGGTACCAAAAACAGGAATATTCGTTTCCACCGTGTATGTGTGTAGGTATAATATAAAACACGTATATAATATAGCCGTATAGGCCGTGTTATTATTATTATTATAGGCCCATTAACCGTGATTATATCCGATTAATAAATAATAATCTCGGAGCGTCGTGTGACTGATAATATTATATACCTATCGCAACACAACATTAAATTTGCACCTCGGCGCTGAGGCGTTTCGATAATATGGCGCGTTTAACATATTATAATATATAGAGTAATAACAGCCGATCGTTTCGTTCGATACACACATTATACATAATGCTATATAGGTATTATAAATGCTTACAAGACGTATTTCGGTTAATAGAAACGTGTGGGCATTGGAGATTTAGGATATCCGACGACGACCCGGCAGTGCGGTCGCGTTTAAATCGCGCGCATTATCTTGTCGGTGGAATAAATAAGGAAAAAAAAAATAGAAAAATAATTTTTTTTTAAAAACGTTACCACTACTCATCTTGACCGACACGGCGATATTATACGATAAAACATATAAAACGGACGTTGTGAGTATTATATAATAATTATAATATTATAAGGTAGGCGTAGGTATATCGGTAGGTAGGTATTATATTATTATTATTATTATCATTATCATTGTATAATAGTATCCCCGTCTTTAGTCTTTACAATATATTATGGGCAATAATAACAACGTCGGACTCACCATAATCGTTCGTATCCTCGGCCGTGCTGTTCACCGTGCCGTCCGGGAACACCTGCAGGTATCTGTTTTTGATGAACATCTTGATTTTCCTGGCGGTGCCTGTTATGTGCGACAGGTTGGCCGACGACCGGCCGTTCCTGGCCGCCGAGCCCGCGACCGCGGCCACCAGCGCCAAGTCGTCCACACGTTCCGCGGCCGCCGCTACGCCGTAATACGCGGCCCGGTCCCCGAGTGCAGACGTGCCCGACACCGCGCCACCGCACAACACGGCGTATAACGCCAACACGCTGACCGTCACCACAACACTCCGCCGGTGGCCGCCGCCGCTGTTGCTGCTGCTGCAGTGCGACCGTTTCACCATGACTTTAGGCCATTGCTGGGTGGTACCGGGCAGGGTACCGCCGGGTCAGGGTCCGTCGCGCCGGACGCCGGTGCCCGCTTCGCACGGCGTCCGCATACCGCCGGCGGGTACGCGGTGGTCGGGCGAGCGGTTTGCGGGTGTCGACGACGAGGATAATATTATTATTAATACGTCCGCGGCGGCTGATCAAAGGCCGAAATATTGTTACGGCGTGTGTTTACCCTACGGGGTGACCCGTCCCGCCGACATAGCCGATCAAACGGCGGTTTTCGTAATCCAAAAGCTCCAAAAAATAACTTTTAATAATTTTTTTTTTTAAAACCAACGGAAAAAAAATTTAAACTTTCGGAAAAACTACGTGAGAATATTAGGCATGCGAATATAATATGTACGAGGCCGGATCACGCGAGCTCGAATTTTGCAACGCGTTAGAGGTCGAACGCGCGAAAACGTAGATATAGGAAATTAAAAAAAAAAAAAAAAAATCAAACTGATAAATTCGCGCGAAAAAAAAAAGGTCACTTGTTCGTCTCGTTTTTTCGTATAATATTAATATTATTATTTATGTTATTATCGTTTTTACTCGAGAAACGGCCGGCCGGTCGGTCACGTCGTGTGCCGCGTCCGTCTCGCTCGCGTCGTCTTGTCGATCGGATCACTATTTATTTAATTTTTTCCTCTTTACGTCTTCTGTTCTTTCCCCTCTAATAAACTGCGCGACGTGCGGTTGGTGACTGGCCGAGAGAGTGGCGAACGCGAGGAATCACGGAATCACGGGGACCGCCAGACGGTATTCAATTTGTCGGTCAGACCATGTGACCCGGCGCGCGCGTGCGGCCCACAGATGGAGCCACTATAGCCGGTCTGGTGGTTCGCTCGCGCCGCGCCGCCGTGATGCTCGATTAGTATGAATGTGTATAATATATTATTTTGTTCTTGTTGTGGTTGATACGATTATCGTTAAGTATGACAAACTATATTGTGTTGAAATCTAATCCAAACGATCGTCATGAGTAGAGGCGTAGAGTACGGACATTGAAGCACTATAAAGTGAAAAACAGCATTTAAAATCAAGTAATAATAAACCTATAGGTACGTATTATACCTTTAAAGCCATTAAAATTATTACCAAATTTTTTTTTCTTATAATCTATTGTTATTTAGTATTTACTATTCATACACTAGTAATAAAAAAGATAATATAGGGTTCCAACAATGTGTACCTGCAACCTGTACGATAAAATGGCGCTTTTATCTGAAGTACTACAACTTACAAGCTAGTGTTTTATTGATACTCGGTTTTGATTTTGAAAAAAATATATGTCGTTTTAAATAATTAGTACATTTTTATTAATTAATATAGTTTTGGTAATTAATAATAAAAGGCATTAAAAATAACAAAACCATATAGAATCCGAAATCAACTCCGAAAAAAGATAAATAAAATGTTGTCCATTTATTCTACTCGATTTCGCGATGTATAAATCGCACATAATATGACGTATACGATATACAATATAGGTGCTAGCTGCAGCCGATAAAGATTCGTTTTTAGGAGTTAAATGAAATTAAACCCTTTCTCAGGTCATAAGTCATAGAGTATATACCTAGCCACCTATTACCTATAGGTAGTTGTAGACTTGTAGTAGACAATAATGTTATATTATGTTTGTTATTCCGCCGGAACGGCACGCGTGCGCGGCCAACGTTTAGGTACGCGTTGTTGTGCCGGAATAGCGTGTTGTTATTTGTTACAATATAGCACTGTCCGTTTCGTTTGGACCTCGTACACGGTGCTTTTCATTGTTGTTGTCGCTATTTCAGCAATCGTCGGGTCGAGAATAATACGGACGCCCGGTTATTACAACACTATTAAAATCGCGTCATTCGGCTTAAAATATGTATACCCAGTGGCGCCGAAATATATATTTAACTATGACAATATTGTCATAGATGATTTTACTATTTGAGTAGGTAAGGGGTCACCTTTGTCATCCTATAGTTATTTTATGAAAATGTGTTTAATAGACAACATAACAACTATACTTGGTGTATGGTGAGGTAATTATAAGAAATAGGTGAGTGTCAACATTTTTTGTGGAGGTGTCATAGGTAAAATTTTGGATTTCGGCGCCACTGTGCATACCACCGTGTTACCTACCGTGCTTTATTATCGGCTTTACGGTAGTACAGTGTTGTACATCAATACCTATGTACTATATGTATTCCATGAACTAAGATTAATCTTAGTTCATGATTTAGTCTATTATAGTCTATACTTATCACTTTTAATTTATATACCATTAATGTGTTCGGGGTTTCGTGTACCTAAGTGATTCTGTAATGACTACAATTTTCTTATTTTCTCTCTCATATTCTCATCCGTCCCTAATTATTATTATTTTTGAACATGATAATATACAAACATAAAACTCGAACTTGTTCGTTATTGTCGTATACTCGTATCAGTCGTACCTTAAAAAATAGTTGAATACATTTTAAGCTATAGTTTAGTCACCTATTTTAATAAGCACTCACCTAAACTGTGGAAACATTTTGCCACGATATGTGTATTGTTATTAATGCGTAATGTGTATTTTTGTGTATAGCCGTATAGGTATTTTTTTGTCCAGCAAATTTACAATTTTATCATCCACGTAAATTTATAGTAGGTTAATTGGTTAGTAGGTACTTTTTATTTAAAAAGTGGTATCCTATTGCACTATTGCATACCTACGCAAAACATAAAATTATTCAATTAGAATGCTAAGAATCCATAAGAATGAAAGAATCACAAATTCAGAGGTTCATCGTGCATATAGTACCTAATAGGCCTATTATGATTCACCATTTTATTTACCCAAAAATCAAAACAAATATTTATATAGGTAAATTAATTATATATAATTAATAAATAATAATAACAAATATAAAGAAGAAGATAAACCATAAACATATTGTCTTTATTAAGATCGCATAAAACGATTGCAAAATAAATAATATATTATAGGTATATTTACGATTTATTTAAAAGGTTAACTTTTTTTAAAGTTTTTAAGAAGACCTCCACAACTGCATATAATGTTGTCTATGTCTTACAAACTTGTACAACATAGTAATTAGCAAAATGTACGTTCAACAGTTCCAATTTTGTATTGTCAGCTTTAATATTTAGTGATTGACCTATATTATTTTCAAACATAAAAGTAAGAACAAATAATCAGTGTGTCTCGTACTCTCGTTGCCGTTGGTATTTTACAATATTTGAGTATGTAACATATTACAATTTAAAAATGCAGATTGACAAAATGAAGAACACAAATAATGTTTTTACTTGAAAGTTTGATTATAGGTAAATATGTACACTAATACAAAGCAAAATTGAAACTTCTGAAAGAAAAATTGCTATATTTATTATAATAAATTCGGATGTGAGGATATTTGAACATTTTATCAATTTACAATGGTCGAATAAATAGGACAACTATACTAGGTAAATAGGTAATAGATCTACATTCTACATGTAAAAACTGGAAGTTACGAAAATAAATCTTCTATGAATATTTTGGATAGTAAAATTTGTATAATAAAAAATCAAGAGGAAGTATAATAATAGCCCTGTGGTTCAATAATTAGTTATAGATAAAATGAAAGTGAATATCTTAACACTTAAGTTAACACTTGAAACCTTGTTGTAATTAGGTACCTTAGTGAAATCCTTTAATCCTTAACGAAATCGTGTATAGAATGTAGATGCATATAATAATACTAGTACCTACAACATATAATAATGTAAGTACCTACCTAACATCCACTGAAAAAACATGTACAATACTATAATTGATGACGAATTGCAAAACAATTTGTTAAATTTAACAGATCATTAAAATTTAATACTTCTTCACATTTTCAACTATATAGTTTATGGATGTTTAAACATTTTAGGTACTAAAAGTTTAGTTTTATTTTAAACTCCAATGAACTTTTATATGTAACCCATGGCCAGAATATCTCCATTGATAAATACCATATAATATTATAATAAATATTATATTATACTACTACTACGATATTTGAAAAATGTAAGGGTTTTAACTTATAAGTATCATATTTATAATATAAATTATTCTGCTCTTACAAATTGATTTTATTTGTGAGTAATGACTAATGAGTATATTTGTGTAGTAGTGTATAACCAACAATTTAGGTACATCTCATAAACTCATAATATGTCAATATTATGTTTAAATAATTATTAGTATTGCACTGATTTTAACAATCAAATTACCCATCAACTAAGTATTTTTTAACTATTAATTATTGTGTGGGTATTAGGTATGCCTATTTGTTCGCCCTATCTATAGAGTATAAATCGAATATCATCAGAGTTGGTAATTTGAAGTGGTAATTTTTTGATATTTTACTTTTATTGGAACAATCTTATCTTTCATTTATACATAGATATACATGGGACGCAGGTCTTTACTCTTTGATAATATTAAACTTAATCCATATTATATCGTTTTATCAAAAAAATTGTCTACATATTTTGTCAATGCTACTATTTTACGATATAGTTCAAATTAATTATAAAATTCTGATCAAAAATTAGAAAAAAAAATACATAGTGATGTATGAAACAAATGATGATATAAAGTATAAACACATAATATAATAATATATTTATAAGTGTAATATAAAATTTAATTTATCGACATTATTATTGCCAATAAAAAAAATGTAATTAAATAAAATTAATCGTAAAAGTAATGAAAAAAATGACACCTAAATATTTGAAAATAATACGTTGCTTGTAAATATAAAATTAATACCTACATATAGTTATATAATTTATTCGCTGATGTTACATGACACAATTTCAAACAACAAAAAACAAAACTAATAACTATATATTTCTTCAAACACCTTAAAATTAGTTTATCCTTACCAATCGGTTCACGATAAATTCCAAAAAGCGCAGCTAGGTATATTAAATTTAT